AGCCTCCTGTACTCCGCGGCGTTGGGGGTCAGCACCGCGGCGGAGTAGCCTCGCATGAGGTCTGGGCGGCGCTCGATGAGCCACAGGCCGTCAGCGTCAATGACGAGCGGCAGGCCCCGAGCGCGGCACGCCTCGATGACTCTCGCAACGCCTGCCAGCACCCGGTCGTCGCGCCCGAGCCCAGGACCGATCGCCAGCGCGTGAAGCCTCGGAAGCAGAGCCTCCATCTTCTCCACCATGCGATCCTGCTCTGCCGAGACGGCGGCCTCGTCCGGTGAGGAGATGCTGGCCCAGCTGTACGCCTCGCTGACCATCAGCTCTGGCGAATAGCCCTTGATGGGTCCCGTGGCCTCCAGCGCCGTGCACACGTACAGCAGCTCGGCGCCCGCCCGCAGCGCTGCCATGCCAGCGTAATAGGGAGCGCCAGCGAAGTCCACAGAGCCGCCGAGTACGCCCACACGCCCCGCATTCCCCTTGTGCCCCGTTCCGTCAAGCCGCGGCGCAATGTCCATCAGGAAATCCCCGGGCGTCAGGATCCCTCGGCCGTCGTCCACATGCCGAGACAATCCGTCTTCAGCGTACTGTGACCTCCCAGCGCAAGCGGGCGCCTCGCTGCGGCTGGCACCCGGGTCTGCAGGGCACAGCCCCTCGAACGCGGCGCCCATCTCGTTGAGGACGTCTGGGGCCACCATGGCGCGCCTCTGCACGAGGTACGCGGCCCTGCAGGCGCGCCGCACGAGAGCACAGGCCGCCTGGCACGCCAGCAGCGGCTCCCGCTCGCGCGCGGCCGCCCAGCCGAGCACCGTGGCCAGGCTCCCAGCCAGGAAGTCGCCCAGACCCCCAGGACGCCGGGGCGCGCCTTCCTCCGCGCACTCCAGCACGGCGGCGCCTGGGCGGCACATGCGGTCCACCCGGCCCTTCTGCAGCACGACCGGACCAGCGAGCCCCTTGCACAGCTCTGGGAGCCCTGCGCCCTCGTCTCCCAGCACAGCCTTGGCCAGCCTCCTGTACTCCGCGGCGTTGGGGGTCAGCACCGCGGCGGAGTAGCCTCGCATGAGGTCTGGGCGGCGCTCGATGAGCCACAGGCCGTCAGCGTCAATGACGAGCGGCAGGCCCCGAGCGCGGCACGCCTCGATGACTCTCGCAACGCCTGCCAGCACCCGGTCGTCGCGCCCGAGCCCAGGACCGATCGCCAGCGCGTGAAGCCTCGGAAGCAGAGCCTCCATCTTCTCCACCATGCGATCCTGCTCTGCCGAGACGGCGGCCTCGTCCGGTGAGGAGATGCTGGCCCAGCTGTACGCCTCGCTGACCATCAGCTCTGGCGAATAGCCCTTGATGGGTCCCGTGGCCTCAAGCGCCGTGCACACGTACAGCAGCTCGGCGCCCGCACGCAGCGCTGCCATGCCAGCGTAATCTGCCACCATGCCCCCTGGCACAGAATGGAGCAAGTGCCCCACACGGGAGATCACGTTCGGATTCGACTCGCGTCGCGCGTGCGGGCGAGGCGAAGCTTCAGGAGGGCAACGACGTGCAGGCGCATCTAGGGCCATGTCGCGCAAAAAAGTGTGTCCTCCAATTGCGCGGCTCCTCGCCGTGCTTTTCACAGTGATTGTCCCGTGGTTGTCCAAGCGATTGTCCTGCAGTTGTCCTGTAGGTTGTCCCGTGATCGTCCCGTGGGTTGACCTGTGGGCTCGTATCCCGCAGGTTGTCTGGCGGTTGTCCCCAGTGGGTTGTCCTGTGGCTGTCCAGTGGGTTGCACCATGGGTTATCCCGTGCCTATCACGTGGGCTATCCTGTGCGGTGCCCCGCGGGTGTCATGTGGGAGATGCAAGTTTGAATGAAAATCCAATCCCACCAGGGCGTAGGTGGTTTGGGGAGGTTCCTCTTCTGACCTCCTTCCCCTTCGGAAGGGCTTCTCTCCCTACCCCTGCGCTGGGGTCGGGCAGGGGGGAGGGGGGGGAAGTGTCAGAGAGTCCTGTTTGGGCCACAAAGGCTCCACGAGGGCCTCGGATAGTCCAGGATGGCCTCCAAGATCGCTCAAGATAGCCCACGATGGCTCAAGATGATCTCCAACATGCCCCCATGAGACCACTAGACCACCCCAGCAGAGTTCCAAGTGGCCTCGGATCCTCCCAGGGAGACCACCGAGGCCAAAACGAATGAAACACACGTGGCGTTTCTGTACTGTTTGGCTTCTCGCCGTATCGCTTTCGATGGCCATTTGAAGCCCCAGGATGACCCCAACATCGCCGAAGAAAAGATCGAAGAGGGCCCCAAGAGACGCCCAGAGCGGCCCAAGAGCGTCCCGAAAGGGCTCCGAGGGGCGATAGGTCGGACTCGGGGGGCGCGAAGCTCATTGCGCGGCGCGGCCCTCCCGATGTCTGGGTCAAGAGCATTTCGCCCGCAGACTCGTGGGGGCCTTCAGTCTCAGGCTGGCTGGAGGCGCGTAGGGCGGTGAACGGCTGTAGCCGAAGCACATCAGTGCTGCTGCGGGGACGTCACTGTGGTAGCGCAACCAAGCCAATCCAGAAGGGGGAGATATGATTGAGCATCCCCCGTTTGCTCCCGATGTCCTGCAAGAGTTCTGTTGACGGAGAAGTGGAGAGCGGACATCCCAGCGACAGTCTGCACAAGCGGCGCATAAGAGATGCAATGTGAAACCTCCAAGAGAAACAGACATGCGGACACTTAAAACAAGTGAACAAACCGGGAGATACTTGCACTGCTCGTCAGAGAAAATAAAGAAATCGCAACGGGATAGAGACATCCGCGGTGGAAGACTAAGCGGTCGCAGCGGAGACTGGCCAGTGCGACCAACAAAGTGGCAACGAGAGTCCAGGGAAGACAGGGAAGGAGGAGAAGGTATAGGAGGACGGAGGAGGGAGACACAATACCCACTGAATGGAGTACAAGCTAAGGCGCAATACGAAGCTCCGTGAATAACCACGCAAGCCTACACGCCCTCTCGAGCGTCGAGCGGCCTGGCGGCAGCACGATCAAGAAATAGAGCAAACCCAGACAGGGCGGGACGAGAGGAGGCAGGCAGAGAGGGCAGCCCAGGCCCGCAAAAAACAACCTAAGGAAGAGTGGCGAAAAAGCCACGGAAATAAGCGAGGCGATGGCCTGCAAGATGGCCCCAAATGGGCCCGAAGGGCTGGCGAGAGGGCCCCAAGAGAGACTCGAAAGGACCCCGACGGTTTTCACGAGAGCCCCAAGAGAGCTCCAGGACGGCCCACCTTCCAAGAGGTTCCGGGAGGTCTCTCTCACGACATACTTAGGTAATTCCCTTCTGCGGACAGTCCTCCTTGACATCGTTTCTGGTGGGCTGGTAGGAACACGCGCATCGTACAAAATATAAAACATATGCGAATCGAAATTCAAACCAAAGCGCAAGTCGAAGTGCAGATCGAAATGCAAACCAACTGCGCATCGACGTGCAACACGCAATGCGACTCGAAACGAAAGTTGGAATCGAAATCGTCATGCAAGTATGATCACTACTCTGAGACAGTATCATAATACAAATAGAATTGTCAATGGGTATGCGCATACAGTGGCAGGTTGGAACGTACATCGTAATGCCATTATGACTGTACATCGAAATGGCACCCCACATGTAAAACAAAGTGCAATCGGAACGCAGAGCGAGACCCAAATCGACATGCAAGCCGAAACGAAATGGAAGCGCAACTGCATTCGGAATGAAAGCCGAATTGAAAACCCAGCCGCAACCGAAACGAAAATCAAATTTCAAATACATCAACACCCCCAACGTCCTGTCACCCGAAGGGTGCTCTATGAGGCAGTTGTTCTGGCATGCGTGGAAGAGAGTTGTCACGTGTTACAGCTTTCTGAGCCGCACAGAATACAGCGGTCACATCTTCCGGCCACCTGAGGTCCGCGGGGGAGCGTGCCTCATGATGGGGACCCCCTGGAGGCTGGGGACCAACGCTGCCGCATGCCGCGACCTTACCGACGGCCCCGCCACGTGCTACACAACGAGGTGGCTTCGCTGGCACGACGGCGGAGGTCGCCGCAGGCATCTGCATAGGGCGCGCCAGCGAAGTCCACCGAGCCGCCGAGGACGCAGATGCGCCCCGCCTGCCCCTCGTGGACGGGAAGAGAACGGGGACCATGACTCAAGGGGCCCAAGGACACACAAATAGATTCACACAAATAACAGGATTCCCATATTTTCCTATGTTTTCTGGGCTTTTGTCTCCCCCCCCACTTCCCATATTTTCCCATATTTTCCTGGAAGTCGACGATTAATTGTGTATGTGTGTTTCTTGCCCTCCTGAATGACCAGGATCGAACGTGGAAACGTCGCGTCGATCTTGGTCAGCGTTGATCTTGGTCAGCGTCACTTCGTGGATCATCCTCGCGAGTCGGCGACTGCTGGCATGGACCGTGACCGGGATCGGCGGCGGCAAAACACCGCCACGTCTTGGTCACGGCGGGGGAAACCAATGGGTACCGATACAGGTACTCTCCTGACCTCTCCCAGGGCGCCTTCCGTCCGGGACTCCGAGGAAGAGACCAGCGGTGGCAACGAGGGCATCCGAGGAGGCCGAAGAAAAGGACAGCGGGCGAAGGGCAGCGGTATCGGTACCTTCGAAGTAGTCGTCGTCGTCGTCGTGGTCAGCGTCGCCGTCGTCGTCGTCGTGATCGTCGTGGTCGTCGTCGTCGTCGTGATCGTCGTCGTGGATGTCGTCGTCGGTGTCGTCGCGATCGTCGTGGTAGTCGTGGTCGTCATCGTCGTCGTGGTCGTCGTCGTCCTCCTCCTCCTCCGAATGGTCCCCGTGTTTCTTCCCTCGACCTTGTGCCCCGTGCCGTCGAGCCGCGGCGCAACGTCCTGCAGGAACGCCCCCGGCGTCTGCGGCGCAGGGACGCCAGGCGCGGCCTGGGCGGCGCCTCCGTGCGGCGGCCGCCCTGCAGGCGGCGCTGCCATGCTGCCGTCTTCTGGTGGGCGTGCCCGTTGGAGAAGCTGCGAAGGCGTCGTCGTCGTCGCGATCGTCGTGGCCGTCGTCGTCGTCATCGTAATGATCGTCGCGATCGTCGTCGTCGTTGTGGTGGTCGTTGTCGTCGTGGTCGTCCACGCTGTTGTCGCGGTCGTCCTGATCGTCGTCGTGGTCAGCGTCGCCGTCGTCGTCGTCGTGATCGTCGTGGTCGTCGTCGTCGTCATTTTCGTCGTCGTCGTGGTTGTCGTTGTCGTCGTGGTCGTCGTCGTGGACGCGATCATCGTCGCAATCGTCGTGGACCTCGCGCTCGTCGTTGTCGTCGTCGCCGTCGAGAACGTCGTGATCGTCGTCGTCGCAATGGTGGTCGTTGTCGTCGTGGTCGTCGTCGTTGTGGTCGTCGTCGTGGTCGTGGCCATCGTCGCAATCGTCGTGGTCGTCGTGGTCATCGTGGTCGTCGTCCTCGTCGTGGTCGAAATCGCCATGTTCGTCGTCGTCGTCGTGATCGTCGTGGTCGTCGTCGTAATGATCGCCGTGGTAGTCGTCCTCGTCATAATCGTCGTCGTACCGTCATTGTCGTCGTGGTCGTCGTCGTCGTCATCGTCGTCGTGATCGTCGTGGTCCTCGTGGTCTTCGTCGTTGTCGCGGTCGTCTTCGTCGTCGTCGCCGCGGTCGTCGTCCTCGTCGCGATCGCCGTGGTGGTCGTCGGAGTTATCGTAAGGATCGAGGCGGTCGTCGTCGTCATCGTGGTAGTCGTGGTCGTCGTAGCGGTCGGCGTCAACGTCGTGATCGTGGCGGTCGTCATGGTCGACACGTCGTCGCGATCCTCGAGGTCGTCGTCGTCGTCATCGTAACGATCGTCGTAATCGTCGTCGCCGTCGCGATGGTCGTATTCGCCGGGATCAACTTCGTCATGATCCTCGTCGTGACCGTCGTCGTCGTCGTGATCATCGTCGTGGTCATTGTCATCGTCGTCGTGGTCGTCGTCGTCGTGGTCATCGTCCTCGTCGACGTGGACGTCGTGGCCGTCGTCGTCGCGATCGTCGTAATCGTCGCGGTCGTCCTCGTGACCGTCTTGGTCGTCGTCTCGTCGCGATCTTCGCGGTGGTCAACGTCGTCGTCGTGGTCGTGGTCGCCGTCGTGGTGGTCGCGGTCGTCGCGATTGTCCTCGTCGTGGTCGTCGTCGTCGTGGTCGTCGCGGTCGTAATGGTCGTCGTTGTCATCGCGGTCGTTGTGGCCGTCGCGGTCGTCGCGGTCGTCGTCGTCGCGATCGTCGTGGTCGTCGTCGTCGTCATCGTAAGAATCGTCGTCGTCGTCGTGGTCGCCGTAGTCGTCGCGGTCGTCGCGGTCGACAGCCATCGTAGTCGTCGCGATCGTGGTCGTCGTCGTCGTCGTGGTCGTCGTTGTGGTCGTCGTCGTCGTCATCGCAAGTATCGTCGCAGTCGTGGTCGACGTCGAATTCGTCGCGGTCGTCGTGGTCACCGTAGCCGTGATCGCCGTAGTCACAGTGGCCGTGATCGCCGTGCTCGTCGCCGTCGTCGTCGTCGTGGTCGTCGCGGTCGTTGTAGTCGTGGTCGACGTCGTCGCCGCCGTCATCGCGGTCGTCGCGGTCGTCGTGGTCGTCATCGCCGACGCGGTCGTCGTCGCCGACGCGGTCGTCGCGGTCGTCGTGGAAGTCGCCGTCGCCCCCGCGATCGTCCTGGCCGACGCCGCCGCGATCGTCGCGGTCGTCGTCGTCGCCGTCGTCGTCGTCGTGGCCATGTCGTCGTCGCCGTCGTCGTGGTCGACGTCGTGGTCGTCGTAGTCGTCGCCGTCGTTGACGTCGTCACCTCCGCCGTCGTAAGGATCTTCGTCGTCGTCGAGGTCGACGTTGTCGACGTCGTCGTCGCGGTCGTCGTCGTCGTGATCGTCGTCGCGGTCGTCGTCGTCGTGATCGTCGTGATCGTCGTGGTCGTCGCCGTCGTCAAGACCCTCGCGGTCGTCGTCGTCGTCGTCGCGGTCGACGCGGCCTAATGGTCGTCGTCGTCGTCGTCGTGGTCGTCGTTGTCGTCGCAGTCGTCGTCATCGCAAGAGTCGCCGTGGTCGTCGTCGTCGCGGTCGTCGTCGTCGCCGCCACCGTCGTCGTCACGATCGTCACGGTCGTCGTGCGACCCTTGACACCGTCACCGGCGTCGTCGTCGAGATCGCCGCGGTCGTCGTCGTCGTCGCCGTCGTTGCCGTCGCCGTGGCTGCTGTCGCCATCGTCGTGGTCATCGTCGCCGTCGTCGCAATCGTCGTGGTCGTCGTGGTCGTTGTCGTCGTCGTTATCGTCGCGGTCGTCGCGGTCGTCGTCATGGTCGTCGCGGTCGTCGTCAACGCGGTCGTGATCGCCGTGGTGGTCGTCGCCGTCGCCGCCGCAACCACCGTGGTCGGCGTGATCGTCGTCGTCGTCATCGTCGTCGCCGACGTGGCCGTCGTGTTCGTCGCGGTCGTCGTCGCCGTCGCGGTCGCAATCGTCGTCGCGGTCGTCGTGGTCGTCGTCGTCGTCGACATGGTCACCGCGGTCGTCGTCGCCGCGGTCGTCGCCGTCGTCGCCGTCGTCGAGGTCGCCGAGGTCGTCGTCGTCGTCATGATCGCCGTGGTCGCCGAGGTTGTCGTCGTCGCCGTCGGCGTCACTGTCACCGTCGTCGTCATCGTGGTCGCCGCGGTCGTCGTCGTAGTGGTCGTCGTTGCCGCGATCGCCGCGGTCGCCGTCGTCGTCGACATCGCAAAGAGCATCGCGATCGCAATCGTCGTGATCCTCGTGGCCGGCATGATCGTCGTCATCGTGATCGACGTGGTCGCCGCGGTCGCCGTCGTCGTCGTCGTTGTCCTCGCGATAGTCGCGGTCGTCGTCGTCGTCGTCGTGATCGCCGTGGCCGTCGCGATCGTCGTCGTCATCGTCGTCGTCGCGGTCGTCGTCGCAGTCACCGCGGTCGAAGTGACCGACGTGGTCGTCGCCGCCGTCGTCGTCGCGATCGTCGTGGTCGTCGCGGTCGTCGCGGTCGTCGTCGTGATCGTCGTGGTCGTCGCCACCGTCGCTGTGGTCGTCGTGGCGGTTGTCGTCGTTGCCGTGGTCGTCGTCCTCGTCGCGGTCATCGTGGTCGTCGTGATCGTCGCCGTCGCAACCGTCGTCGTCGCGATCGTCGCGGCCGTCGTGGCCGTCGTCACCGTGGTTGCCACTGTCGTCATGGTCGTCGCGGTCGCCTCCGTTGCCGTCGTGATCGTCGCGGTCGTCGTCGTTGCGATCGTCGTGGTAGTCGTCGTCGCCGTCGTCGTCGCGGTCGTCATCGTCGTCGCGGTCGTCGTCGCCGTGACCGCCGTGTCTGTCGTGGTCATCGTCGTCGTCGTCCCGATCGTCGCGGTCCTCGTCGCACCGTGGTCGTCGTTGCCGTCGCGATCGCCGCCATCGTCGTCGTCGGGATCGTCGCGGCCGCCGCCGTCGTCGTCGAGGTCGTCGTCGTCGTCGTCGTGATAACTGTGGTCAGCGTCGTCGTCGTCGTGATCATCGCCATCGTCGGCGGCGTCGCCGTCGTCGTCGCGAACGTCTCCGTAGACGTCGTCGTGGCGGTCGTCGTCGGCGCCGCGATCGTCGTTGTCGTCGTTGTCGTCATCCTGGCCGTGGTCGTCGTCGCCGTCGCGATCGTCGCGGTCGCGGTCGTCGTCGTCGTGGTCGTCGTGATCGTCGTCGCCGTGGCCGTCGTCGAACTGCCGTGGCCGTAGTCGTTCCCGTCGGCATGATCGTCGCGGTCGCCATCGTCGTCACCGCCGTCGTCGTCGTGGTCGTCGCGGACGTCGTCGCGATCGCGATCGCCGTCGTATTCACGGTCGTCGTCGTGGACGCCGTCGCGCCCGCCGTGGCCGCCGCCGCCGTCGCGACCCTCGACGCGATCTTCGCCGTCGCCGCGGCCGTCGTCATCGTTGTCGCCATCATCGCGATCGCCGCGGTCGACGTCGCCGTAGTCGTCGTGGTCGGCGTGAACGTCGACGTCGTCGCGGTCGCCGTTGTCGTCGTCAACATCGCCACTGTGGTCGCCGTCGTCGTCGCCATCGTCGCGGCCGTCGCCGTCGTCACCGTGATCGTCGTCGCGATCGTCATCGTCGTCGTTGTCGTGATCGTCGCGGTCGTGGCGGTCGTCGTGATCGTGATCGTCGCGGTCGTCGTCGTCGTTCGTCGAGATCGTTGTCGTCACTGCGGTCGCCGTTATCGTCGTGGTCGCCGTCGTCGCGGCCGCCGTGGTCGACGTGATCGCTGTCGTCGTCGATGTCCTCGTCGTCGTGGTCGTCGTGATCAACGTCGCCTTCCTCGTCGCCGTGGCCATCGTCGTCGTCGTCGCGATCGTCGACGTCGCGATCGTCGCGGCCGTCGTCGTCGCCGCCGTGATCATCATGGCCATCGCCGTCCGCATGCGCCCCGCACACCCAGCACAGCGTCTCGTGGCCCCATAAGGGGCCCCACCGACGGCCCCAGTGGGACCGTCCGCGCGCGCCCCGGAAACCAAATATGCAATTTCACCCATCCAGCACAACGCTTCGTGGTCCCATAGGGAGCGACCGAAGCCCCCAGAAGGCCCCGGCGGCAGGGTCCGCATGCGACCCCGCGCCCATCTCGGCACGCCCGTCTCGAAGACCGAGAGCCCTGCCGAAGGCCCCAGCGGCAGGGTCCGCACGCCTCCCCGCGCCCATTTCGGCACACCCCTCACGCGGTTCGTGGCCCCATAGGGAGCTCCACCGACGCGGCGCACCCCTCAGAAGGACTGGGGCCCCGTAAGGAGCTCCACCGAAGGCCCCAGCGGCAGGGTCAGCATGCGCCCCCCCGCCCATTCGGCATGCCCCTTCACGAGGATCGTGGCATCATAGTGAGCTCCACCGAAGGCCCCAGCGGCAGGGTCCACATGCGTCCACCCATCCGCATGCGCCCCCTCGCCTATTTCGGCACACCCCTGACTGAGCGCGGTGTCTAGATACTTTCAAATAGCGCGCATGATGATTCTCTTCCCATTGCAATGCCTAAGAGCTCTCAA